TTCAAAGTTTCTGGCATGACCTTCAATGTTTACATCTGTTTATCTAAATTGTTTAGTGTATCTTTACGCTTGTACTCGGATTCTCTAAAGGTGCACTTGAACCAAGGGTATAGTTCAATATTATGTCGTCTGCTCTAACAGTTGAGAAGGATTTATGTGTATGGTTCTTGTCAGCTTTACTGTCTAACATTGCTGGTAGTTCATGTGTTTCAAAGTTTCTGGCATGACCTTCAATGTTCATACATCTGTTATCTAAATTGTTTAGTGTATCTTTTACGCTTGTACTCGGATTCTCTAAAGGTGCACTTGAACCAAGGGTATAGTTCAATATTATGTCGTCTGCTCTAACAGTAGTGAAGGATTATGTGTAATGGTTCTTGTCAGCTTTACTGTCTAACATTGCTGGTAGTTCATGTGTTTCAAAGTTTCTGGCATGACTTCAATGTTCATAACATCTGTATTCTAAATTGTTTAGTGTATCTTTTACGCTTGTACTCGGATTCTCTAAGGTGCACTTGAACCAAGGGTCAAGTTCAATATTATGTCGTCTGCTCTAACAGTTGAAGAAGGATTTTATGTGTATGGTTCTTGTCAGCTTTACTGTCTAATGAGCTTTGAAGTTCATTTATATCGGAGATGTTGTGTTTATGAGATTTCAAAACTTTGTTCTTGCTTCAAGTTCAACTTTGTCAGCTTTACTTTTAATAGCATCTTCAAACGTTATTTTTGCCTTAACTCTCAAAGTAAATCTTGGTTCAACTAATACACCGTTAACAAAGAAGTATGAAGCATAAATTTCATCGTTATAACCAAATGCTTCTGGTGCTTTACCTGTGTCATACTGTACAGTACAGTGTATGTCATAACCTTTAGCACGAATGAATTTATATCTTCTTTCATTAACATCTTCCGTCTTCACTTCTTCTTCAGTTCGTGTTAAATATCCATGGTAGTCCGTTATAATCTGTTCGTCTGAAGTTATATAATGAACGTGGTTTTTATCTGCTTTTTCGGCTAATTTCTCTTCTATCTCATTTATTTCAAGTTCAACTCTTCCGCCAGAACTCTTATTATCATTAATCTTTTTCATTAATTCGGTAATTACGTCATAAAGACTATATTCTGTTTTCGGTTTTGTAAATAATGAGTCAAAATTTCTTTTCATCATTACATCGCTGACATTAATGATATCACCAATTCCTTTTTCATTTATTCTCTTCATTAATTCTGCAATAATGACGAATATATAATCTGTTAATTTATTCTCTTCATCGAGGGTTATAGAATGTTTTGAAATTGAATCATTAACTCCTCTAAATAAATCAATAACTTCAGGATACACGTTTTTAATGTCTCGAATAACCCGACCAGTATCCTGTTGTTCATGTTCTTCGTTCCCGTCGTTACGTGGTTTTATATCTCTAACCATCATCAACGCAGCCATAACCGGAGGGTTTGTTGCTATCTGTTCGAAAATCCGTCCGTTATGTACGGTATATCTAAATAATTTCTTTGTGTTTGTTAAAACATTTGAAACAAGTCTTTTAAAACCCTACAAAATTTCCTGTTTCACCTAATGTTCTTGCAGCATTTACAAGCTCACCCATTCCCGCTTTTGACCCCAAAAACGTCCATATTGCATTTATTTCACTCTGTATAGTTGTCCATTCAGCGAAACTAACACCGCATTCGCTAAGCTGAAAATGAAATCAGTGGATCGAACTTAATTCCACCTTCTTTTTCAATTTCAACGAACTCACTAACATGAGATTTTAAGTATTCTTTCGTTAAAATTGTTTTCCCCGATGTTATGTCATTAACGAAACTATCACCGTCAAAAGTTAACGAATTCAATTTCGTCGTTGATGCTTTTATTTCATACACCGCTTTATCAATAGTTTTTGGCTCACCTTCTTTAGAAGCATATGAAACATTAATGAATGAATTATATGTATTCGTGAATGAATTAAAATCAATGATTTTCATTAATGACGCCTTTAATGATTCATTTACTGTCGAATCCCTTAAAGTAATTAATGAACTGTCATTTATGAAAGGTACACTGCAAACCGTCGAGTTTGGATCAAATGCTGTAGTTGGTGCAGGAATATTAATGATATAAGTCATTAAATCATTAAGTGACGTAAATAATGTTGTCGTTTTTGATTTAATTTCTTTAGCATCTGTTATATATGGTAATTTTATTTCTGTAGTTTCTGAATTAAAGATATTCGCTAAAATGTTTTGTAAACTGTTTTGAACAGCTGTGTAAACCGTTGAATCCGGAACTCTTACGATTTCACCGTCCTTAATAAAAGGCATTGCACATGGTGTAGTGCTTGGGTCAAATCTTTTTGGGTTATGATTCAACATATATTCTAATGCTTCATAAACAGACCTATATACGGTTGTATTATCTTTTTCAATAATTTCACCGTCCTTTATAAACGGCATAGTACATGGAGTTAAAATAGGGTCAAACTTTTCATAGTCCTTCCATGTTATGTATTTCTCAGTATTTCCATCAGTGATAACAATATATTTGTCAGTAAGTGTGAGAGAGTATTGACCAAAATATAAACGTTTAGCTCTGTCAGCTTCATACTCATATGCAGCTATACTCATATTTTAATGAGAATAAAATGTTGTTCTATTTGCAAAGTACAGACCCAAACGAATACGGGACAGTAAAGCTACAAACAAACTTAGGTCTACAGAATGAGGCGCTTGCATTCAGAATGGTTGACTTCAATACTATCGCTTCATTCGTTATAACAGATGAAACAGATTTCATGGAGATTGAAATAGATGGAAAGAAGCACGAAATAAGATTTCACAATAATGTAGAATATAAGATGGAAACATTAGCTGGAGTGTTAAATGCTCTCATAAATACTACAAGGATAACGAAGAAAACTTAATGAATGTTAAACTTATTGCAGGAGTTTTGAAGTTCAGTTATGCGAAGGAGTTTAAGATACCAAGAATGAGTCATAGAGTACAACTTCTTTTGGGTGCATACCATATGACATTTCCTTTGAAAAGTGTTGACAAAACGATTGAGATGAAATCTGTTCCATACGTATGTTATGGTAATTGTTTATACATTGAGTCAAAAATAGCTAATGTCACAGGCATTTCAGGAGTTAATAGTAAAGGTTCAGTAGAATATAAATCCTTCTGTTATGCAGTCAATTCAATGTTCATTCCAAACGTTCCTGTCATAGCAACTCATTTAGGTAAATGGGTTCGCATTAGTCCTCATAATTTGAAAGACATGCAATTCAGACTTGTTGACTTTCAAGGAGAGCCTGTAGAACTGAAGGCACCAGTGCGAATGACTGTTGAAGTTGACTTTTTAGAAAATATTAAATGCAACAGCTTACAAGAGAACTCAGAGCTAAAAATATAAAGTATGAATGTTATGTATTAGGTCATGAACTTTGGTTGTTGCTGTTTGATGAAACAAATGAATTAGTTATGTCAGTCAAGAGAACAGAAAAATATTGTGTTAGTGAAAACTGCACCAAGTCAATAAGATTAGGTTTGCATTATGAAGATGAGTTCGATACTGTTGAAGAAGTTTTGGATAGATATTACAAATTGCTAACTTGAAATTTTTTTGACTGACGGCGCAAAGCGCCAAGATGGGCTCAAAGAGCCCTCCTGACTGCTTTAATTTACTAAAACATATTTCAAACAAAGCTTATAGTCAGTAGATAGTTTTGTATACTCGTTCGAATATTTATACTTAAACTCAACTCCTGTAGTTCCTGGTGTTTCAATGATGCGGATGTTACCTATTTTCATGAATAGTGGAGTTTGACCACAGCATTCGATTTCAGGGTCGAGATAGTCAATGACACATTGTTTCCCTGTTATTCGTGAGATAACATTTTCAAGGTCCTCCTTTGTTAGAATTATTTGGTTCCTACTTATAAGATTTACCAAAAGCTTCTTATCGTCTTTGAGTAAAATTGTTTGGTATAACTGAAGAAGGTAATGGTCTACGTTATCTGAAGGATTTGTTTGAACATTTGTGTAAGGATTGTCGTTGGCTTCTCTTGAAAGAATTTGGTCCAGTGGTGGATACTCTAACTTAACATCTGATGTAGCGTTAGCGTTTGAAGCTGAGTTTAAATTCAGGGATTTCAGCTCTGGTTCTGGTTCTTTCAAACACTCTGAACTATAGTTCTTTATGACAATATTGTTTGTCGTTCGTGAGTCAACATTTGATGTTGGTTCAATTGGAACATTAACGGCACCAGCTAAGATGGATTTGCTTCTCATTTCATATAGAATAAAAACCTTTTATATGTATGAAATGAACAATATACTCGACAAGGGTTTGAATGTAAAGCTAACGAATGAAAATATTGTTGAATTCACTGAGACAGGAGCTGTGTATAAAGATGTAGAACTACTGAACAAAAGAGCTAAGGGAAGAAGCAGGAACATGAACAAAGGGTGGAAGCCTATAAAAATTTATGTCAATGATGGCTCAGGAGGTTCAAACATAAAGTATGCAGAAAGTTATAGAGTTTATGCTCTCAAAGGTGAAAAGCCTTCATTTAAGAACAGCTATTCTAACGCATATCCTCAAAAGTTAACGGATGGAGAAGTGGATGATATGAATGACAGCAAAAATATTAACAGAAATGGCGACAGAGATGCATGGAATTTGTTTACCATCAGTCAATTGAAGGTTAAACTTTAAAACAATGTTGGTCGTTCCCATGGAATATTTTTGACTTTAATGGTATTAGTCATGATATGAATCTCAAGGTATGAACGAGGAGAGATGAGAGACTTATATGCTTCCCAAATTTCTTCAAAAGGTAATGTTATACCTGACTGTTTCCAAATGAGTTCAATATCATAGCGTGAGAAACCTTGAAAGATAACGAAGTCAGTTATGAGACGTTTTATGTTTAAAGCAAAAAACTCCATGTTTGCATAAGTATTGCTACAGTTAAATGGTAATGTCTGACTTTAGTTATGATGTTAGCTAATGGTGAGTCAGGCTTTGAAACTAAACCTTTTCCGGCGAAGTCGTCGCAAACGAGCAGAGTGTTTGAAGGATATTTTTTGAAGGGGTATTTTGAAAGTTTTGACAGAATGTAGTTTGTAAGTCGTTTCATATCGTAAACTCCTGAGTACTGACGTAAGTGGTGTTTGTCAATAATTCTTTCCATCTCCTCAGAAGTCTTTTGCATTCCTGACTGTATAAATTCAACGATGGCATAATATTTCCTCTTACGTCGAATGTAACGTTGAAGAAATTCAATGAGTTCACTGTCTGGAACTTTAACGACAGAGGCTTGAACTTTTGACATAAATGTTTTCGCTGTTGAGTCCATAGAGTCTGAAGTTGCTGATATAATGATTTGGTCATAGTAAGAGTCGTTTCCTAAACGCTCTGTTATGAGTATATGACGAATGAGGTTGAATGTCTTTCCTGACCCCATCTTTCCACAATAGAAATAAACACCATTTGAACAGAACTCATAGTCCTTACTGAAAGGAAGAATGAGAGAAGAGTTAAGTTTGTCTGTAGTTTCATTCATGTCTTCATCTACGTCATGTATTAAATGCTTCATTTTATCTCCATTAAAAATGCAAGTCAGAAATATTCAGAACATAGCACCGAGTCTAACTGACAAGAGTATAAAGATATACTATGAACACGTTATGATGAAACCTACCAAAATTCAAGAAAGTCAGTATACTTATGAATATCCAAGACACTGGGTAGAGTATGTAGGAGGTGAGAAAGCTATTGAAATCAGACAGGTTCGAAGTATTCCAGCAGGAAGAACAATATTATTGAAGAACTTTAATGTTTTGAGATATAATGATGAAACAAAGAAGCAAGATAGTTTTCCTGTTGCTGTGTATGTGAACTAGACACAGGAGATGACATGAAAGTTTTTAATACAAAGCTTCAAACGGTAGTGAGAGAACAACTGACTGCGGAAGGACATCCATTACCTTCAGAAGTTACCATAGCATATAATTTTGAAACAAACTCAATAGATTTTAAAGTCATCTCTGCAAAGAAGTCAGGTTTTACATTTAATGAAGCAGATGTATATTCGAATGAAAACTTCAAAGCTATTGCATGGTTAGATAATGACGATTGCTTTAAGAAAATATTTAAATACAGTGACTCAACGATGTCAATAGATGACCTTCGTGGAATGTTACCATCGACGTTTACAGTAGAAGGTTCAGCAGGATTGCTTACAAGATTGTCAATTGGTGGTATTTGGTCTCGTGAGAACATTGTTATAAAATCCAGTATAAGTGAATTTGCTGAAGAATCTATATTATGTCTTTCAAACTACATGTATTCGCCGCCGAAGCATTATAGTATAACAAACTTTGTCAGTAAGTTTAACATAAGACTTGTCGAACCTTCTTCAATGAAAGATGTTGTGCTACCTAAAGATGGAAAGGATGGACTCATTATTGAGATGATTTTAATAGCATATTAAATGAGCTTGTTCTTGAAGGTCATTCATGATGAAATAACTGTTGTAGAAGATGTTAGCAATTGTTCAGACATTTTGAAGCGTATAGATGATATAAGAAAGAAGTTAGATAGACCGCAAAGCGGTGAGGGCGAAGCCCGTGAGAACGCTTATGTTTCATTGACTTTCTCCAGTAACGAGAACTTTTATGAGATAATATTGAAGAGAGATGATTTTAATATGGTGTAAATGGTAGCTTGGGCAGCTTTAGGCGCAATGGGAACAAAAGCATTAGCATTTGGAGCAAAAGCACTTGGAGCTTATGACGCAGTAAATAAAATGAGTGGAGGAAGGGTTTCGAAGACATTAGATGCAAATAAAGGGAAGATTGGAGGCTGGGTTGCAAAGAAGTTAAGATTAAATAAAATAGGGCTCATAAATAAAGCATCCAATTTGGTTGCGACTGAGTCAGAAAATGCTTTAGGAAAGGACGATGAGTTTGCAAAACACGCAAAAGACTTTAATGACCAGATGAAAGGTGAAACAATGCATTTAAATAGAGTCGATGGAACTAAAGAAAATGTTTCTTCTCCACCAGTAGTTCTTCCGTATGGTCCCTATGGAATGTATGGAAACCCTTACGAAAGACCATTTGACCCATTGACTGGTGGAAGTAACTGGTATCATTACGGACGAAGAAGAAAGACAGTCAAGTTGGAGACAGACGTGAAGAAAGCAACTAAAAAGAAACCAAGGAAGAGAGTTATAAAGCAATGAATTCAACAGGGTGAAAAAACAGGTGAAAAAAGAGGTGAGATCTCACCACTTCACCTAAATTTATTTTTGTGCTATGTTTTCATACGTGTGGGAGTGGTGATATCATTAATTTTTAAGTTTATTTTTTATTTTACTGAAAATTTTTATTTGGATGTAAATGACAGAACAAAAGCAACTCATTCGAATTCCACAGTATAACAAACATACATTTAAACATTTATTCTTCCTTCCTGAGCATAACATGTTCTTTCAAATACATCCGAGACCAGTTGACTTTTCATTGACTGTGTATAAAGATAGAAATAGTTATATCATTAAACCATACGATGACGAAGGTAAGTTATGTAAATTGTACGTTAAGAAGTTAGAGAAAGTTTATGGCTTCAAGTATGACTACAATAGGGTTAACACTGATGATGAAGATATTGAGGAAAATTTATGAGAACATTAGTGAAGTCGTTAGTGAGAACGATAGTGAGAACGTTTATTTTTTACATTAGTGAGTTCGTTAGTGAAGTGGTTGGCGGCTTTGTAAAGTGTCAAATTCACAAGTATTGGGTAAGGTGGAACGCAGTGCCGCCGTACCCATGACTTGTATACTAACTTTATTTACATAATATCTGTTTGAAGTCCATAATTCTATAAATTTTTCTTCAAAAACATTACAATCTTGATAGTTTTGATACTGTTTAATAGGTTTTTGGCACCTTATTTAGTATTTACTACGTATAGAGTCGATCTGAACTTAATTTTCGGAAATTTAAAATATTTATTATAAGTAAAATCTGATTTGAAATTTATGTTTAACTACTCATATCTTGCATTATCCTGAGTAGCTTTTGTAAAAATTCATCAAAAAAGATTTTAACGTGCTTTAATTTTTATTTTTTAAAATAATGCATATTATTATATAACTAGCATATTTACAAATTTTAGTGCTTTCAAAAATTTAATCCTCCTCCTCTCAAATAAACGTACATCTGGGTGGCCTGTTTTTTGCAAAAAATAAAATTTCATTTTTTATGCTTAAAAAGTCAGAATTTTTATTTGCTTCTGGGATATATGATGGCTATATCTAGGGCTGTACAAAATCGAGAAAAACATTGCCGTGCGGTAATATAGGGTCAAAAAAATCGCGCCTCGGCGGCTCCGCCGCCTCGGCACTATTAAGTGCGCATTATATTTAATATGTCCTTCTTTTTTCCTTTTTTCTTCTTCTTCTTTTCCTTTCCTTCATCCTCTCCTTCCTCTTCTTTCCTTCTCCTTCTCTTTTTACAACAAAGTCGAAGATCTTCGAATTTGATTGTTGGAAAAGCATCTATTTCAGATAAAGGATGCCTTTCTCACAGTCAACATACGAGGGTGCTGGCTGAAACGTTCTCAAAAAGCCTGAGATGGTAATTCTCTGATCACTCATAGCTGGGCAGGTAGTCATTGCTGACAATACCTGTCTTTATGCATGCACGCTTTCATGTATATGTGTTTACACTATCAATTCGCAAAGTTGTTCCGAATTCTTCCAAAATGGAAGGACCCGAAACAACTTTGCTTGTTAACGATACAGACGCATTACTTTGCATTGATACTGTGCTGAGTTGTGTAGAAAGTTTGATTAGAGTTGTTTTGTTCTGGTATCTCTCATCTTCTGATGAGAGAAATCAAAGCAACACAACTCTAATGAGTTTGTTTTCACTCATTTGTATGTAGGTTTTTAGTTCGATTGGAGCTGCTTCATAATGAGATCTCTCATCAATTGATGAGGGAGATCATAACAAAGCAGCTCTAATGTATATGCTCGTATTAACCGGGTTGTAATGCGTTGTAACGTCAGCTTGTAGTTCGTTTGGGGCCACTTCACATTGAGATGAGAAGAAATGATTAAAGGACTCTGAAAGGCTTTGGCCGTTGATGTTGTAATCACATTACTTGGAACTAGCTGGATGCTAAGCTGTGTAGAATGTTCGATTAGAGCTGTTTTGACATGATTTTTCTCATCATAAGATTGGAGAAATCATAGCAAAACAACTCTAATGGGTTTACCATCATCTACTTGTATGTAGATGTTTGGGAAATTGTCTTGTTAATCGATTTTCGAGATGACTTTCAAATGCTATAATCAAATGACAAACAAGTCTAAGATTTCTCGACAATACATCAAATCATGATGTCTGTAAGTGCGATGAGATTAGAGTTTTTGAAGGAATGACAAGAGAAGTAGGGAAGCTCGGCATTCGCCGAGCAAATTAAAAATTAACGTATGGATTAAATTTTAAGAGGAATTCAATTTTAATTACGGGTTGTTCAAATATTGATTAAGGGTGCACCCGTATGTACGTTTATTTGAGAGGAGGAGGATTACCCTCTCAATTTTGAGGGATTCGTTAGTTTATTTTCTCGATGAATATGCAATAAAATTTGATTTTTACCTTATCAATATACTTCATATAATATACACATGTTCATGTAAAAACTTTTTTTCCAAAATCCTCAGGAATTAAGGGATTTTTGAATTTTAAGAATTTTTTTCGAATTTTTTCGAAAAAAAAATATTTTTCAGAACAGCCTTAACGGCTAAGATTTAGGAACAATGTTAAGTATCAAAAAGAAAGGAGGTCTGATATAGACAACATATATCGTTGAAGGTTGAAAAAATCTCTAATATTTGAGCCCAAAATTTCAAATTTTAATTTTTTGAAAAAAGAGGCCACCCGTATGTACGTTTATTTGAGAGGAGGAGGATTATATTTTTGAAAGGGTGAAACATTATGAATATGTTAATTATATAATAATATGTATTATTAAGGTCGATGAAAAATTGAGTGTTTTTAAAAAACCGCCGTTTGAGAGGAAAATTGAGAACCTCGATGTATACTTTTTGACATTGTCAAAAACTTTGAAAGGACAAAAATTTTTTAGTGTCAGAAAGTTTACAAATGTATACTTTCTGACGAACAGACCCTCAGAAAGTGCTCAAACTGCGGTTTTTAATTTCCGCACTTTTTTGGCGACCTTATAAAAAAGAAAAAATAAAGCACGTTAAAATTTTTCTTTCTTGATTTTTTACAAAATCTACTTAGAATTATGCAAAATATGACTAAATAATTATAAATTTCAAGTTAAATTTTAATTTTGATAAATAATTTAAATTTCAAAATATCAAGTTCAGTTCGACTATGTATGTAGTAATTCCTCAATAAAGTGCCAAAACCCTATTAAAATATATGAACATTTTCAACATTTTAATGTTTTTATTTAAAACTTTGATGGAATATGAGCTTCAAACAATTATTATGTAAATAAAAATAATTAAATATATGTATTTATTCGTATTACAACCGTAGTAAGTCGATTCTTCCTTTCTTCTACTGAGATTTGAATTTGATTTCGAATTGTAAAGAGATTCAAAGGGAAAATACTAGCGGATAAAAACTACCTCCATGAAAGGGTCATAATGGAGTCAAGTTGTATTTTTGATATTTTTTGCTTTTCGAGCCTAAATAGGTAGCCAAGATAATGCCTAAAAATAAGGTTCTAAATTCTGAAGTTTACATGATCCTCTCGTGTGCACCCTTAATATAAATTTATTAATAAGAATAAACAATTTTTGTTTTTGAATTTATTCAATTTATAGCTTTACATATAGTTTCAAAATTGTACAACTATGATTATTTCAACAAAAAATATCTTACTTTTTCACTTCACTTTCACCCTCACTTTTTCCGTAATTCAAATTTCAACATTATGTATTTTAATTCCTTATAGTATTTTTAACATAATTAATCAAATAATAATTGGAAGTTCTGAACTCACTTTTTCTGTAATTCAAAATCAAAAATATGAATAATATATCTATTTATTATATACTAATGCTATTTTCAACTAGAAGTGAGGTATGGTAATCTTACGGATTCCCGTAACTCAATTTTACGGAAAAAGTGCAGTAAACTACTCAATTTACGGAAAAAGTGTCGTAAACTATTGATGTGGCGGTAAAATCACGGTAATTCACGGAAAGCTATATGCGAAAATTTGAAATTATACAAAATCGAGCGAAACACTTTTAAATAGGTTGTTCTCGTATTTAAAATACTATTCCCAGATTTATTGTCGTCAGAATATTTCCAAATTTTTGCCGATTTACAAAAAATGATTTACAAAGCATATTTTTTAATCTAAAAAATTCCTAAAAAAAGGAACCGGTGTGCGGAAACCTCGGTAAATTACCGCGGTTCCTGTTGGGACTGCCATAGCTATATCATAGTCATGTGATTTTATCCCAAGCATATGGGGATTCTAAATTTTTGTCCCTATCGTTATCCCAATTGAATTTTTTTTTTGGAATTTAAAAATTTTTTTTCTCCATGTAAACTTAAATTTTAATTTTTACCACTAAAATGCAATATTTCAACAAATTAATGAGTAATAATATTTTAATTTATAATAAATATTATAAATCTCCTCAATTTAATGTAATTATTGTATTAATTTTTGTTGAAAATATAAAATCTTCAAGTAAATGATGTGAATTTAATATTTTTAGAATGTTGTTTAATTGTACTATATTATGCATGTAAAATTTTGTTACAATACATTTTATATGGGATCCCCATTGCCCAATTGAGAGAAAATTGAGAGGTGGGATTGGGCTAGCCCAATTCAAAATATCCCAGGTGGAAATAAAAAAATTAACAATTCAACATAAAAAAGCATCTTAAATAATAATGATAAAAAGAAATTTTGTATGAATTTCAATCAAATTTGTTTTTATTCAACTTAAGAAATCACTTCATTAATGAAAGAAGTCGGGTTCACAACATATCCCGATCTTGAAACGAAACAACATGTTTTTTTGATGCCCTAAACGGGGGGTCGCCAGCAAAAAAAAGATGTCAAAATTTATCCCAAAAATTTAAAAAAAATCGAAGAAAGTGCATCCCAGGGATTATAAAATTTAAGTTTTCACATCTCTACTATATCAGATGCCCATTCTTTTTGATACTCAACATTAAACATAAAACTTAGCCGTTAAGGCTCTTCTGAAAATTTTTTTTTCCGAAAAATTTTCGAAAAAAATCAAAAATTTTAAAAATCCCCGAATCTGCAGGGATTTTAAAAAATTCTTTTTGGTAAAACTTAAGGATATTGTATCAGATATATTGGTATGGGCAAATTCAATTTTAATCCAATATTCATCGAGATATTAAGTTAACGAAGCTTTCAAAATTGAGAGGGTAATCCTCCTCCTCTCAAATAAACGTACATGCGGGTGCACCCTTAAGCAATCACTAACTTTCAATGGATTACCAAATTTAAGCGGTTTTCCAAATCTCCAATCAACTTCGAAGTTTCCTGAATCAAGTAAATTTGCCATTGTAACCTCTGTGAACCTATTCTAAATGATATCTGCACAGATTGAATTTAGAATAATCTTTTTGCGCATTTTTTGCACTTGTAGGAAAACCTTTATTGGCAATATATCAAAATTAAATACAAAACCTTATCAGATAATAAAATTACAATAACTTCTCTTTTACAAATTGCTTTACAAAAAAATATAAAAAATAAAAAATATCTAATAATAAGTTTACAATTCTATGGTTAAAAATGGGTATAAGTATGAGAATGGAATTCCAATATTTTTAATAGCTCTGCATGAATTAGCTAAAGGACAATTTTCTGAGAAAGCAATTTTAGGAATGTTTGCAATATTAACAAATTTTTCCTGCACATCTTGGGGCGCTGAAAATGATCCACACCTATGAAGAAGAGGGCATCCATCAAATGCATTTGTTCCTATTTGAGAGATACTAGATGATGAGAAGAAAACAAAATTCAAATTCTTGCAATCTTTAAAAGCTTGATAGTCGATAGTGTTAATATTATTTCCATTGAAGAAAACTCTTAAGAGAGTTGGACTTCCCATGAAAGCACAACTTCCTATAGTAACCATTTCTAAAGGAACAATGAAATTTTTAACACCACTGTATGGAAGGAAGAGAATAAGCTTTGTTTGTTCGTGATTTGTCAATGCACCGTTTTCAAATCTATATCTTTGATCATTTTGAGGAAGCTTAACAGATTTTAAATTATAACAACCATAGAAGCATCCACCATCAACCTTTGAAAGTGTGCAGCCAGCTCCCATTATCAATGTTTTCAGTCTTTCGCAAGATTGAAATGCAAAACCTTGAATACTAGCTAATGAACTTGGAATTATGAAATCTGTCATTGATGTACATCCATCAAAGGCATATGTTCCAATATCTGTGACACCATTGTTGAGTGAAAGTGTTATCAATGATGTACATGATTGACATAACATACTTGGAATATTACAAGATATAGTTAAATCTGTGATTTGGGAATTAGCAAATGATCTGATTCCAACTGATTTTACTGAGCTCGGCAAGTTCGCAATTGTCAAACCACTTTCTGAGAATGCATAAGTTCCAATTGTTGTTAGTGAATTTAGGTTAGATAATCCAATATCTCCAAGTTTTCTGCAGTGTGCAAATGCATACTCTCCTATTGATGTTATAGAAGTTGGGAGAGTAATTGAGGAAAGCATATTGCAATCTATGAAGCAAGAATTAGGAATTATTGTAATTTTTGTTCCTTGGAATGTTACACTTTCTAACTGCAAACAACCATCAATAGCATTATTTGAGATTGTTTTCAAACTTGGTGGGAAAACTATTGAATGTATTGTTGATTCTAAGAAAACGCCTTCACCAATTCTAATATCTATATCCACTTTTGAACTTTTGAAAGTAACATCTCTTATTTTCTTTTTGGCAAACGTTCTTCCAGCAATAAAATTGCATTCAGCTAAAATAGAAATATCTGTATTTTCTTCAGAGCCCACATAAATTAACAAAGTTCTATTGTCATCCTTATACATCATATTATTGTCAACAACATATTTTGGACTTAATGAATGAAGTGTTAAATTAGGAATTTCTGTAAAAACACCATCCCCAATTGTTTCCAAATTCCTTGGGAGGGTTATTTCTTGTAATTCAATGCATCCAATAAAAACTGGGCGCCCTAAAATCTTCAAACTAGATGGTAATGTGATGTTTTTAAGTTTATTAGAATAATAAAACGCACTGTCTTTAATTTCTGTGATATTTTCTGTTAATAATACAGTCTCTAATTTTGGGCATCCATGAAACATAAAAGATGAAACAGTTTTAATTTGAATAGGAAATTCGAAATCAACAATTTGGCATAATCCAAGACAGAAATCATCAACAAAAGTTATATTAGTGGAGAAAATTATTTTATTGAATTTTGATCCTCTTAATGCAGAATTACCGATTGAAGTAATATAAGAAGGAACTTGAAATGTTCCTGTTAACCTTGAAATCACATAAACTAGGTTGGTAAATCCAGATCCAGAGAGCAGCATTTGTCCATCAACTTTATAGTTTGTATTCCTTTCATCCACTGAAATCCCAATTATAGGGCAACCATTGAAACACGAACCATCTTGAAGCACGCATTTTGATGGAATATAAAAGTACTCTAGTTTTGTGTAGCTAAAAACACTTGAACCTAAATTCTGCAATTGCGAATTATGGCCAATAGTAACTTCTTTTATTCCAGCATATCCAAAGACACTTCCATAAGTTTGGGAAGGACCGGCAATATCCGTCAAAGTATCAGGAAATTCAATTTTTGTTAAAGAAGTGTCAAGATAAAAGCATCCAAATGATAATTTCGTTAGTTTTGGAGGTAATTTTACATTGCTTAAACTCCGGCATTCTCCAAAACAGCCATTACTTATGACTAGGAGTTTTGTACATTGACTCAAATCCGCACTTATTAATGCGGAATTCATAAAGCAACAATCGCATATTGATGATAATTGGCTTCCCGGAGCAAATGATATAGAGGATAAAGATCCTCTACAGAAGTAGAAGGGACTTGCATCTTGAGTTGTCCCTCCTTTGATTGTTGTACATTCGGCAATAATAGTGCAATCACCAGAAAATCCCTTGAGAACAGAAAGAAGGACTGTTTTATCATCTGAATACTTTATACCATTTAATTCATTACTTGTCAGTTACTAGGGGGTTAATAATAAATGCAATTTTATCATGGTTGAATTTGACACATATTTGAAATTTTGAGAGTATCCATTGAATTGTGTAAATTAATAATAATCAAAATCAACCACCCTTTATATGTAAGTGATACAATTACAATCAAGTAGTATGCAATGGATTTAATTGTTTTGGAGTATGGAATCTTTGATTTGATTATTTTTTTCTGATCTTATGACAAATATTAAAGGGTCATTGAAATATTGATACTAAATTCGTAATTTTTTTTCTCTAAACAAAAACAATAATATATCAAGGACAAATAGATGATTATCACTTTTTCATGGTGTTTTATTACTGAGGTGATTTAAACTTTGAAATTCGAACTTTTCTAACTATTGCATTTATGCTTAGATATAATTAAATATGGAAATTTATTGTTTGTCATGAATTATTTTTAATGCTGAATTAAGGGCAGTTTTCCCATCGTTATCTTTTATGGTGATTAATTTATATTATTGTGTCCTCAAATTTATCAGAATTCATAAATGAATTTCAAGATTTTTCAACATTTAAATGTTGAGTTATATGCAACTTCTTGCCAGATTGATATTATTGATGTTATTGATAAAATGACAGGATGTTGTTGTCATAAATTTCTTCTCTATTGATTCTGAAATCAATAACAAAAAATTACTGATGGATTTGTGCAATTAAGTCTCATAGCTGTATGAACAACTAACAATACTTGTTTCTTCTTTAATGATTATGCATCGGATTTTGTGTCGGCCAGTTGAAAGTGATTTGCCAGCATCACGGTCAAATTTGATGATTTTATCATGATTACTGATGCTTTTACTGCATGCGCATTTGTTGATAATACCTGAATCAATCCATGATTCAATCATAACTACTTGTGATGGTTAATTAAATCGAAGAGTTATTTTAGATGATAGGATTATTTTCTTGGATTTTGTTATATTTCTACACTTCAAGAGGAAAATTTTTTATGATGTGGCGGTGAATTACTTCTTGTTCATGATAAAAAAGATCATTTATCAATTTTGTTTGTGAAATAGTAACTTGCTAGGATTCCATATGTATACAGTTATTATCTTTTATGAAGCATGATTCAACAGTCATGATTGAAATAACCTCATAAAAAAATCAATTGTGATTTGTATTTCATGCAATATGAAGAGTGGTTCTTCCAAAACTATTTTTTTTCATTAATATTGCACCAAGTGATAGGGAAAATTCGCAAATAGAGAGTTTGATCTAAATATTCCTAAAATGATTCTTCTTTTAAGTGTTTGATCTTTTCAAATTCTTCTCTATCTGTGAACATGACGAATCTATCTTTGTCATCACCCATAATTGCTCTGTAAATTATCAAAACGGAATTGTATTCTGATTTCAAATAATGTATGGTTATACAGGCATGCTTTGATTATTTACATACAAAGCATTTCAGCTGGTTATGGCAATTAATCGATCTTTTAGTTAGATTGTGCCGATCTTTTTGGGTTGCTAAATGCACATTTTCTAGTTTAGCTAAACTTTCTTTTCCTACAAGTAATCTTGCTTCTAACGCCAACCTGTTATGTATGCTGATAGGTAATACTCCTTTCTGTTTATCAGCCATTCATTGACATCATTCTTAAATGGAAAACTGCCAAATGTGTTATTCAATTTTTGTAAACTATTCAAAATAATTTTTATCACAAATTTTATGAACGCTGCACAGCGACGAATCCTACGTGATTTCAAGAAAATTCAGAATGACAAAACAAAAAATTATGTTGTGACACCAGATCCACAGAATATTTATCACTGGGATGCAGTTCTTTTCGGACCTGAAGATACAGTTTGGGAAGGAGCTAACTTCAGGATGCAATTTGACTTTTCTGAAGATTACCCGCATACATGTCCCGAAGTAAAGTTTGTTGATATTCCGTTTCATCCAAATATTTATCAAAACGGATCAATTTGTATCGATATTTTACAGCAAAACTGGTCTAATGCATATGATGCTGCAGCTATTATGACATCTATTATATCCCTTTTGGTATTACCAAATCCTCATTCACCTGCAAATAATGAAGCTGGTGAATTATACGTAAAAAATACTAACGAGTACAATAGGAGAGTGAAATTATCATTCCCAAATTACAATAAGTAAACGTGAATCAGTATGTTTTTTTAATTTTCAATTTTTGAAATTATTTATACAAAACTTCAGAGCATATATGACATAAATACAAAGAAATATAGATATTAATAATATACAATTTAAAAAACAATAAATAAAAATAATTTTCATTTTGACTGAGGAATTTCCCAGTATTCCATAGTTTCATCCGCAAAATATCCTGCAATCTTGTCAACAGGGCCATCCTCCTTTGTTTTAATTGCTTTAATTGAGACAATTTTTCTTTCAATTTTTGCAATTTGAGTATACTTACTCTCAGAAGGATATGCTACAATAACACGAGATGTAGTTGCAAGTGCAAATGAATTATCGTTAATTGCAGTTATCATCTTCAAATTAGTTTTATCGTGAGGAAATTTCTTTGGTTTTTCATCTTTGTTTACGATCCACAAGAAACGGCCAAATGCGATAAAAAGGCAGTTTTCTGATGCAGATGCACAACGTGGATACGATAAAAAGTCGTAAGTATTGACAGGCTTACCTTCAAAGTCAAAAACATGTAGCTGTCTTCTGCAAACTATATAAACAGCGTTGGATGTGATATGAACCGATAAAGGATCAGTTAATCTAAGGAGAACTTGAGTTTGGACAGCAATCGAATGGTGATAATGGAGTATAATAAGCTCATTTTTAGTTGAGAGAGCAGCAATTCTTCTTTTACAGGCAGAAATCGAAACACATTGAATCGGAATTTGAGCTAGAATGTTGCCATCAGCAACATCATAAATTTCTACACCTGACATTGATGAAATAGCAACAAGTCCGTTTTCATATGTTATTTGATTTCCTGATGGAAGCGTTGGTAGGGCTACAAATTGAAGCTTATAGTTTACAACTTCAGCTATTGTAGTATCACTCCATACTAATGCAACACTGCCATCATTTGTCAAAAAAACTTTTTTGAGAGAATGTCTGAATGGTCTGATTTTATATGTAACTTCATTGTTCTTTAAAGAGATCATTTGGAATGTTCCATCAGCTAGACCACATGCAATGTTAAAATCTGACATGGAAATGGACATACATAAAGAAGTTTGAATGGTAATTGCAGTTTGATCGTTTTTATCAAGGGATTTGAGAGTAATAACACCTGATAAGTCTGCAACAACGTAACTCTTTTGGTTTATTCCAACGCTTGTAACAGGTTTTTCCCAATTTGTATCAAAAACAAGTTCAAAAGCTTCATCGTTTGGCTGGGCTTTCATTATTGTTACAGTCAATGCTGTTGACGCTATGAAATAGTCATATCCTGCAATCTGATGATAATCATAAGAAGAAATTTTTGCAGGAGCAGTCCATTTCGCACCATGTTTATTTGTAATCTCATCATCACCAAAAATAAATGATATAGGAAGGGGTCCTGCCTTTTTCTTTAAAGGACGGAAGATTGTATTCGGATGTCCCGGAATTGCAAATAAACTAGAGTAATATGCTATGTCAAAACTAGGATATAAGTTAAGAGTCGCTTTCGTAGAGTTTGTTATGAGTTTACCGTCGAAAGTTAAATAACAAAAATCTTCATCTGTAGCTTCAAGCCTGACTATTGGCTCAATGATGGAACCAATCTGTTTAAGTCCATTCTGCGATATTTGGTAGATCTGGCCTTTATTGTTTGAGATAGTTACACTTTCTGTATCTGAATTTGATGAAAGAACGATTCCTGCCATTCCTCCTATTGTTTTATAGGGATTCACCGAATAAATATCAGGTCCAGACATGAAATATCTGCTGTTCAAGTAAATGGAAGTCTGAGCTGTTGTAATTGAAAAAGGACCATTTAAAATTTCTTTAGTTTCGAAGTTGTATATCCATGATGATATCAATGCATCATCATTCATGTAGTGATATGCTAAGAATGCTGCTGAATTAGGTGCAATAACTTTCTGACCATCAAATTTTTGGCAGGGACAGAATCTTTTAATATTTTGCATTGTTTTAGGCGGCCATGATAAATCAATTTTAGGTTGAGACGGCTTTGACAAAGATTTTATCACACCTTTTTCTGATAATACATGAGCATGGCAAAATTTATCGTATAACAGGCAATAAACTTGAAGTGCAGTATCGTTTAACTCAGCTGATGATGTTACAACTAACCCACTTTTCTGAAGAGATAAAAGATGAGAATATTGATCTTCTGTAATAACAGCGAATTGTAATTCGATCTTTTTACTTCGTTTTGGTAATAATACTCGAGTAATTGGCATTTTAAATTGCTGTTTTGCAATTTCTTTTAAAGTTTCTAATTCAAAAACGCGAACAGAATCTAAATAATGAATTATAACCATACCTTTTCCGTAATGGTAGCCAAGATATAAAGATCCATATGCCCCATACTCAGGAAAATGATTCATATTATAGAAAATTTAAGGTTATCTAAATTTATAAACGTCACTTTTTATAATAACGTTGTATTGAATTTTTGATTTGATTCAAGAAATCCTAACATATGGTATGAGGTTCTTAACTGAATGCTAAGTATCATGCTAGAATATCTTTCAATTTCAATAAGGATCTCTTGTTGATATTCGAAATATAGACATTCTCCCGTCTGGGAAGATTTTTTCTCAAAACGAGATCCTTAATTTCAATTGTAAATAAGCAGAAATAGAATGATTCTAATTCTTTCTAATAAAATTCGTGAACATTTTCAACGATTTATATTACAATAGCATATGCATAACATGTGTCATTCATTACCACAATTATCATTTATAGTGTAACATTTTGAAATTTCGGAACTCGTGATTGATGTTAGGGTGCTGATGGTTGCCCGCAAGTCTTTAAACATTAGTATTTTGGTGGCATATACTCTCCCATCTGCCATCCAATCTTCTTTTTGACAACTTTGATTTTTCAATTTATATTTTTCCGCCTGAACTACAAAAATTTCAGTCTCCTCACATGGGCTAACATTATAATGTCTTGCTAATTTCAATGATTTTTCCTAACCACAAAAATTTTGGTGACTGTCATATGGAAGCGGCAATAGCTGCTTTCCAGAAACCAAATACAGCACCAGAAATAACAGATTTCATAGAATTGACGTGGCGAACCCATGTTCAATATATCGAGGTTCTAACTCGAGAGCAAAGAGAGAAAGTCTCTCAAGATTTGTTTTTATTTTGCGAAAAACTCGCAAATAATACAAATGATGACAATGTGTACACTCTCATTCTGGCCTGCGGTATTATTTTTCGATCTTATCTATTAGATTTATCACAATTATTTCCTTTATTCGATAAACTCTTCGTAGCAACTCGAGAAGCAGATATTATTGCCATTGCAAAACTTATGATACATATTTCGGCTCAAACTGATGAAATCAATCCAATTTTCGCGAAAAGATATATAAAAAAATCATTATCGATGATAAATTCCAAAAAACAGACAGATATCAAGTTCGGACTTATAATACTTCAAGAATATATCACAAAATTGGCTTCATTAATTATCCTTCATTTTCCAAATATCTCGTTATCACTTTGGACAACTGTTCAGAACCAAAATGACACAATTCGACGTTTAGGAATATCCGTGTTTTCCATATACATCCAAGAATTGGCGAAAGTATCTGGTTTCACGAGAAAAATCACATTTCAAAAAGTTTACAGGCAATCATTAGATTTATTAATGACCAATCAATACAGAAATCAACATACGGCAATTCTTATCATAGCGGCTTTAATTTCTTTTCAAAGTAATATTTTTGAAGATGAAGCTTTGACAATTTACAAAAATTTAAGTCAATTCTTAACTTCAAGTCATCATCCATTACGAATATCCGCAATTTCGACTTTAATTCAAATCTCAAAAATAAATCAAGAATTATTCAAAGAAACAGTCTTCACAGCCATATTTCAATCGCTCATGACAATGATTGTCGACAGAAAAACAATTGTACTTACAATAGATACCATTACAACAATGGTTGATCAAATTCCAGCTTATATTTACGTAAAAATCCCTTCAATTATAATAATGATCGACCAAATACCAAACAATAGCCGTTTACAAGCGATGACAAGAATTTTGAATTTATTTTTGAAGATTATTGACTTAGATCCGAAATTATTGGATTCTAACGATGATATTATCTGGAGAATTGTAGAGAGCAATACACTGTCAAGACAGTTCGTCATGTTTTTTGAAAAAGTGAAGATTTATTATCCAAATTTCGAATTTGATCACAAAGAGAAACTTTGCAACTTAATTCTCTCTGTTTTAAGTTCTTATTCCAATCCTTATCAGGAAGCCCTTGATCTGATATCTCTAATGCACATAGATTTCGATTTCGCGTTGAAATTAATGCCATTGATGAAATCAGCCTTTTTCTCGAGAAACAAAGCGCACAGGCTTTCAGCCCCGCGCGCATTAATACATGTTGTCGAGACAAATCCTCAAGTTCTCCTTAAAGAATCTGTTGAAATTTTTCAACTCGGAATTTGTGACCTTTCGTCAAAAGTGAAGTGCGCAGTTATCAAGTGTTTTGACGATGACAGCCGTTTGAAGTACTTAATTTCAACAGAACTCGGAAAATCTTTTATGATTTTTGCAGAAGACAAAAACGCTGATGTCCGCAATGCTTATTACAATCTATTGATGAGGTATTCCTCATTTTCACCAGTTGCATCATATATAACTCTTAGAAAAAGTATAATAAAATTAATATCAGCGATAAGAACGAATTCAACGACATCGGAGTGTGTGAATTATGTTAAATCGCTGCCAATGCTAATTTTGGCATCAAAAAGTATCATTTATACCTATGAAAAAAATATTTTAGAAGCAATTGTCCAAAAAATGACAATTTCTGCTCAAAACGAGAGAGTTCTCATTGAACTAGACCTACAACTCTCTATATATCTAGTCAAATCTCTTGAAACTTTCGCTTCATTAAACGGAGAATCGATATTTCCATATATAGATACGATTAGACCAGTTCTAATCGATTACATCCATGGAAAGAACAGAGAATTGAAAGAATGCGTCGTAGATTTACTCACAACTTTGTTGTTATCTTCAGATTCTCTGACAAAAGTATATTCCCATTTAGCACCGATCATTCCAACCATTGTAGATGCTGTTGGATCCAGTACTTCTCAAGTATTTCGTGTCAAAGCCCTTAAATTCATCGGTGCAATTGGAGCAATTTCTCCAAGCAGGGTTGGCCTGACAAAAATGTCAACTAAAGAGGACACGGTTACCTTTGACCTTCAGAAAATGAAGAAAAACGAGCTCTGGATGGCTCATTTCGGCGAAGTTATTTTTGATAAATTGTTATCAATGATGGAAGACAAAGATTACATCGAATCTCAGCAGATGGTCTTTCATACAGCAATTTCTGTCGTAAGTGTCATGACGACTATCCCTAATAAATCCTTAGAAAAGTTGATCGGACATATCCTATCGTCTATAAAAAATTCCTTAGAATCCCAAAAAAGTGACGCGTTCTCTCAATTAGAAAATTTAATTTTAATCGCCAAACAACGTGTGTGTCCATTTGTTCCCGAGATCATGCGTGTCATTGACAACAGCTGGTCCCCTAGATACCTTGTAGGAAGTTTAAGGGTCATCATTGCCTTAGTTATTGAAGTACATACTGATTTCACAGATTATGTTGCTCCTTTGTTTCCTCGTATCCTTGAAAGTCTTTCAGCATCAACAACAGGACATCCCGATGTAGCAAAAGTATGTCTTCCTCTCTTAGCTTTCTTAGGACCAAGTTATTCAAATGCTGTTTCCCTGATTTTCCCTCAAATATGTCACGTAATTGAACTAGACACAACACCGAAGGATGTCTTGATAGCGGCATTGACATCCATGAGGTATTTAGTTCAAAACGGAGACCCAACTTTCCACGCGACATCAATTTTTTCCGCTGCAGTTGAATTCATGGGACAAAACGTCGAAGAAGACGTCAGAAAAATAGCTATTGACATAGTGTTCAGTTTGATGGTCCGCATTGGAGAATCAGTTGTCATCTACGCGCATAGAATCATCGCTGTTTTGGGATTCGACCAAGAAAACGTCGAAAAATTCAAACAAATTTTGGATGAAATTTTGAATTTTCCGTTTACTAATATATACAAATTCGATTTCATCTCGAAAGATCCACCAATCTCATTAACGCCAACACCCACAAAACAGAGGAGATTCAAAGTAGAATCATTCTATAAAACATTCATTGCAGGAGCTTTGGAAACTCCGAAACAATGGAAAACATGGTTAAACAACGCGATTTTGAAGTGGGTTCGCAATTCCCCATGTCCATCCATTAGTTTATTACATGATTTAGCGAGTAACATCCCTGAATTACTCGATTTCCTCACATTCCCGAGCTTCTTCGCAATTTGGGATAACATCGGTCAAAGAGAAAGACAAAAAGTGTCTGAAAATTTGATGAATATCATGAATAATTCTTTGTTTCCTAACGATGTTATTTTGCATTTACTTAAACTCGCTGAAGGATTAGATAGAGTAGAACAACCATTAGTTGTGAGTCCGATTTCTTTGCGAAATCTTTGTCAGAGAGTGAAATATCATTCATACGCTGTTCACATTGATATTGTTGAGTTTTTCAAACATAACAATGACCAATTCGCACATTCCGCGGCAAAGATGTATATAGAACTCGACCAACAAACAGAGAGTGAATCAATTCTCCAAAAATATCCAATAGAAAACGATTCTTCCATTTTGTTTCAACTCGGACATTGGAATGAAGCTCTTACAATGTACGAGAAACAATATAAAGAGAATAATAGAAATCTATTAGCCCTTACAGGTATGATTAACTCTGCAAACAAAATGAAGAAATATGATAAAATTCTTGGTTTCGAAGATGAACTGACAAAAAGTGACAAAAACACCATACGTCTAAATTCTTTGAATTTTGCGAGAGCTTATTTCACATCCAAGAAATATGATAAGATGTATGAATACGCTAGTTTGGCCGATCCTGAGATATTAGAGACACATGTTTTGACTGCTGTTTCTTTGTGTTTGTTGGGAAATTTTAAACAAGCGGAAAAAAGTGTTGAAACAGGATTTCACTTGATTTCTCAACAATTTAACAATAAAGGATACAGCGAAGCCTACAATTCCATGATATATTGCCAAGTACTATGGGAATTGCATGAGATAATCAAGACAAAAGGAAAACCGAATTCAAATATTTGGAGAGAAAGAATTTCTTCAACAAAACTGACAACGGAATCTTGGACACCTCTAATTATGCTAAGATTAGCATTTGCGCCACAAGAGAACCAGGCTTTCCTGCAGTACTTGAATATATCTCTTCAGGACCATCGTTTGGACAATTTTATTTGGTTGTTTAATATGATTCCAAACCAAAATTTGATTCCCTTTTTGCATGCGAAAATGAAGTATCTTTGGGCGTTGGGAAGAAGAGAAGAAGCTTTGCAAGGTATAGATAAAATGATACAAGACAAAAAGACAAATGTTAATGTTATTTTGTCTTATATCGATTGGACAATCGCTATGAAACATGATGAAAAAACTTTGATAAATTTGGGAGAAAGATTGAAAAGAACTGTTTCTCAAGATTCTTCTAATTATGGATTGACACAAAGATGGGCGAGTGTGAACTTCCATTTATTCCAATTGCATCCGGAGAATTTAAATTACGCTGTTGAAGCTGTTCGTGGTTTTGTTCCTGCAATTAAAAACTCAGCTTCAGCACATTTTTCCGATGTTTTGCAATTGTTGTGGATTTTCTTTTCAACTGCAAATGATGATGAAACGTTCAAATTAACTGAACCATTGTTTTCTTCAATTCATTCAAGTAAGTTCGTTGAAGTTGTTCCACAATTAGTTGGTTTGCTTGACCACAAAAACGAATTGGCATCGATTTCAGCGAGAAACATCATTTTGGAACTCGCGAAAACATCGAAACAAAGAATCTTCTTTCCATTGATTTGTGCAGGACAATCATTGAACTCTAACATGAGAGATAAAGCTCAGTTAGTACTACAAAGTGTTGCATTGGCACATCCATCGGAAATTGCTCAATGCATGAGATTGTCAACTGTTTTGATTTCTGCGTCTGTTACTTTGTTTGATTGTTGGATTTGTTGTGAAGGAGAAAAATCAACTTATTTACTTGATAGAGCTCATAATCCGAAATGTACAATGGATAGATTGTTCGGAAGATTACTTGGCCCTTTGATTTCTGATTTGGATTGTTGTTTGTTGAATGGCTCAGATCCGAAACAGATTTTGAATGAAATTTCAAGAGAATGCGAAAAAAGAATTTCAGAATTTGATAGAATCCGAATCGTTGATGTAACAACGGAAAGAGACTTGAATCTAAGTGAAGTAGAAATGCCTGGTGCTCCTGGTGTTTATATTTCATCAATTTTACCTGAAATTGACATTTTAAACTCAAAACAACATCCTAGAAGAGTCAGATTTCAAGGAAATGATGGAATTATCAGACCTTTTTTGTTGAAATCGAATGAAGACTTGGCTTTGGATCAAAGATTCATGCAGTACATGAGATTAGTCAACATTTTCATTCAACAAGAATCATGTTTATACAATAACAATGTTTGTTTGCGCGAATACGAGATTGTTCCTTTAAGTCCACAAGTTGGATTGATACAATGGGTTGAAGGAAGTGATACGATATCTAGATTGATTGAAGAATACAGGAAAGTTCATTCCATTGATCCTTTACTTGAAAAGCATTTTATGGAGTTACTTTCTGTGAATGCCGTTGACAAATTAACTCCTATGCAAAGATACGAATGTTTGAGTGTTGTTGGACAAATAACAAGTGATGCGGACTTGAGAACAATCATTTGGTTGAGATCTCCATCAAGCCAAGATTGGCTCTCAAGACATATTCATTTACAAAGGTCTGCAGCTGTTAATTCCGTTGTTGGATACACAATAGGTCTTGGAGATAGACACGCAAGCAATATAATGATTGATAGAAAAACAGGTGATATGATTCACATTGATTTCGGAGATTGTTTCGAAGTCAACAAAGATAGAATATTATTCCCGGAAAAAATACCTTTCAGACTCTCAAGAATGTTAGTTTCTGCATTCGGATTGGCTGGAATTGACGGAGAATTCAGAAAAACAGCAGAAAAAGTCATGTCTCTTGTTAGAGATAACGCGAATTCATTGGCCAGTGTTTTGGAATTGTTCCTCTTGGAAAGTGATGCTTCAATGCTGGAGAAGAGAATGATTAAGAGGACATGGGACAAAATGAGTGGAGATGATTTCGATGACAAGAAATCTTTGACTCCTGAGGAGCAAGTTTCAAGATTAATCAATGACGCTGTTGACAAATACAACATTTCTCACCTTTATACAGGATGGGCTCCTCTTTGGTAATTTTATTTTGTATTTTTAATTTTTTTTTCATGTATAGTATTATTTATTTTATAAAATGTTTGTTAGATTAGTTTATCGATAATTATTATATCTTTTTTAAATGATTTTAGATTGACCTCAGAAGGGTTTTCAAGATTTTATTAACTGAGCTTATGATACTAATTAATTTATTGATATTGAAGAAAAAGTTTGAAATAAAATAATGACTATTTCAATAAAATAAAACGATAGTTCCTTGTTAGTTCGATGAGATTGTAAGTTAATAGGATGATAGAGATTCTATTCTTTTGAACTAAGGCTCGTCATTCAAATTGGAATTTTAAGTAGTATATGAGTGCGGGTTGTGTGACCTTTTTTGTAATCGTAAGAATCTCACATAATTGAATGATTTTTGAACATACTTCTGAATAGCAGATTTTAAAAATTTATGAATAATTTATAAAAAGTTTTTATTCCTACAATTCCTATATTATCATTAATAAAAAGAATATATTTTTGCATAGATTCCAAATATGGTGTCAATTTTTTATTTAATATAAAATGTATGGAAAAAGAATAATATCTGATTTTGAACATTATTTGATTGATTTACTAATTGATCCACAAAGCTGTTGTAAAATTAATTTTGAATTTAAAATTAAAGGAACCGTAAATTTTGTATTTATTTATCACTTAAAAGAATATGACCGATATCATAATTTGATATATGAAACTAATATAATATTTGAAGATAACAAACTTACAAGCTTCGAACATGAAAATGATATAATATTCGAAGATGAAAAAAAGAAAGAGATTGAAAAGCAATTCAATGAATGCCTTTTAAATACATATGCGCACATTATAAGACATAAAATGAAATTAATTCCTTATTAATCAAAAATATTTTTTATCTTTTATTTTATAATAAATGAGTATAACAACTAATTCATTGAAATCTTTAAAGTTCACTAATTCAGAATTAGAAAATATTTTAGAAAATTTTGGAGACGGTTCTTATCCAACATATATGCAGAATGTGAAAGAGTTTTCTAGATTGTTGAATGAATTTAAATATAACGGACCAATTACTAAAAAGGCTATAATGAGATATTTATATCCCAAAAAAGTTGAAAAACATGAGAATATTCCTCTTTATGGTCCAGAGGACCTGGGCTCAGAGAGCCTTGAAACACCTCCTGAATATTTTGAAAAAAAATTAAACAAGATGAATATTATAACGATGAGATTGAGAAATTGGAACAATTAAGAATGAAATAGATGAAAAAATTAAAGAATTAAGAAATGCTGAAAATGAAGTAGAGGATTTAATGAATATCCCAGCTTCAGAATCAGAAGTTCAAAAATCACATGAGGAAAGATATAAAAATTACTTTTTGGAATCTACTAAAAATTTATTAGATGGTGATATTGACGAAACACTTTCAGAAGAAGGCACAAAATTTATTCATAAACATAAGTTACAATTTATTGACGATGGAGATTATCCATGTATATTACTTTCACCTCCTCTTGATTCTGAAAAATTCAAAAAAGCACTGAAAAATGTAACATATGCAACAAATACGATTAAGAAAGAAGACCATGATATTTACACAAATTATTATTTAAATAAATGTACAGGTGTTGATAAAGTTTTTGATTTGTTAGATAAAATATCAAAAGAAACAATTGGTACATATAAAATTTTATGCGATTGTGGTTTCATTGTTGAAGATACCGTTGATGTTTCATATGAAAGAACAGCTCCGAAGGAGGACGAAGTGGAAAGATCTATTCCATTCGTTATTAAGAACATAAAAGATATGAAAACTTATAAACATTATATTTATTCATTTATTTCAGAAAAAATGGAAGCAACACATAAATCATCTCGTCATCATTTCATAGCTATTCATACATTCCTTTTCAAAGTTGTGAAATTAAATAAGACAGGAATTAGATTTAATGTATCAGGGTACACATTCTTGAGTAAATTAAAATGTATTCGTCATGTCGCAGATGATAAAAATTTATGTGTTCTTAATTCATTTTATGGACTTTAAAAAATAAACTTTATTTTTATTTTTTAATTTTTATTCTTACATAAATGAACAAAAACGGAACGGCTAAAATGAATGATAATCAAATTAGAGCAGAAGGTAGAAGGTTATTTAAACGCTTCTATAACATTCCTGATGGTGTTAATCCTAAAACTCGTAGAAGTTATTTAAATGAAGCCATAGATGCATATGAAGGGTTTGACATTTCATCAGAAAGTGAGAGGTTAGCAAGAATGTTAAACGTTAATATTGATTTTTATTATTGTGACCCTCAACCAGAAGACGTAGACATTAACAAGGTAGACTTCCCATTAGTGGAATCAATAATGATAGATCCAGAATTTGAAACAGTAAATATTTTATTAACACAGAGTCCATGTGGAAAACTTCACGCTGACAGAATAACAGACGTTGAAGCACTCACAGGATATAAAGTTTGCTCCTTTTGCAAAGAAGAAGTATATTCTATCCGTGATGATCCAGAAAGGAAAAACCAAAGAAGATTTTTAAAACATTGTGAGAAATGTAAAGAAAATAATGGAAGATTAATTCAAGACGTTCAATTGCAAAACACACAACAACCATATGCACCACATATCACGAAACAGAAGATATATCAGTGGCTATTAGCACATAATTTGCAGGAATATTATAAACCAACAAGATATTATATTACTTTTGACTTCGAAACATTAGAGACTAAAGAAGAACTTCTACTTTCTGAATGTGCAACTTTGAACGCTTACTTAAAACCATTTATGGTATCATCAACGGTTAAATTAAACGATAAAACATATACAAGGAATTTTTGCTTAACATCAAGTGATTCGTTCATCTCTGATTGGATTGAATTTTTATTTTCAACCTGTTCATTAGTTGCTAAATCAAATATTGAACAATATGAAGAATTAATGAATACATTAAATGAGAAACAGAAGGAAGCATTTAAAGAACTTCTAGATGAGGAATTCAATAAAGTGAATATCATAGGTTTTAATTCGGGAAAGTTTGATTTAAATTTAATTCTTCGTGATTTAAATACTGCAAAATGGAAGATAAAATCAATGCTGGGTTCTTCTTCACAATTTAAGCAAATCATTGTAAAGAAAACAAACGTTCCATATGAATTGAGATTTATTGACATCAGAAATTATATAGCGGGTGGGACATTAGACCAATTCACTCAAGATTTCGGAAACAATAAAACACGTGTTAAATCCTTTTTCCCATATCAATTCATCACATGGGAAAATTACGAAGAAGAATTATATAAAAAGGAACCATTCACTCAAGATTCATTTTATTCAGCATTAACACAAGAAACAATATCGATCAGATTATCAAATATATCTCAATGATGCTAAAAATTTTGAGAATAGATTAGAATATTTTATTCATTATTGCAATAAAGACGTTGAAATTATGATTGACCCAATTGATAAAATTATTGAAGAAACATTTGTTTATAAAATTGACATGCTCCATAATCTTTCATTATCATCTAATGCATCAATGATTCGTTACGCTTTAGCATATAAGACTTCAATCCTAACGAAACATATCCAGAAGAAGAAAATGTGGAATCAAGTTTTGAATTAACGAAAAAGTATTGGAAATATAAAATTGAATCATATAAGAAACAAGATGAAAAGGTGAAAAGAGATACCAAAAATAATGTTTCAATGGATGACTATCAATATTTTCACGATTTAATCCTTTCATCTAAATGTAAAATGTGTGGTAAAGCGTTTACATATGCAAATAAACCAACATTGGATAGAATTGATAATGAAAAACCACATACTAAAGAAAATTGTCAGTTAATGTGTTGTTATTGCAATGTCGTGAAATCAAATAAAGATGAAGAGTTCAACGTTTAAGAATTAATTTAAGAAATTATGCATTAAAAAATAATTTACCAATGACTTTAGATTCAGTGGAAGCGTATCACATCCTCCGTAATGGAATTACTGGTGGTCTATCAAATGTTCAACATCGTGTTAATCTTAAAGGAATCACGCACATTAATAAACTTTCATATAGTCCAGAAACTAAAACAGTATCAAATGAGGACACTTCCAACATCATGACTCATTTCGTTGGTGTTGATTTCAATTCATTATATCCTTCATCATTTTCATCAAATCCTCATGATTTCATTCAATACACCGATCATAAAATGTATATGCCGGGAAGATTGAATGGTGTTATCATTTGTGATACAGCAACAAAGAAAGCAAAAGCTTTAGGAATTATTAAGAAGAAAAATAATTTATTCGTGGCTGAAGTAAAGGGTCACATTGATGAAAAATACATTAATGATTACATAAACTTTTTACCGATAATAAGAAACTTAGATATTATCACAGATGAAAAAACAATTGGGGTTTTATGTATAATTACATGAAATCAAACAATCTACCAGTTGACCAGAAACAGAGAAAATTAACTCAGTTAGCATCAACACACAACCAATATCAACCATTTTCTTCTTATTATCTTTGGTATCTAATCGACAGATTTCATTTTATCATTGATGACATTCAATCAATTTTAACATTTACGAAAAACACTTGTTTTAATGAATTTGCGAACAAATTTATGAACGAAAGACAAAAGGCTGAATTAGAAGGAAATAAAGGAAAAAGTTTATTTTGCAAGATTTCGCTTAATGGATCATATGGTTACGATGCAATGAATACACAAAATTACGCAAAGACTAAAATAATGAATGCACAGAAGCACGCGTTGCATGTATGCCAAATAAGTTTAAAAACATAAGAGAAATAGGTGAGGATACATATCAAGTGATGCTTAAAGATAGATTTTATAGATGTGATACATGTTTACAAGAGGCATTCTTCACTTTAGATAATGCAAAATACTGGTATTTGGTTTTCATTTATGATTTTATGTATAAATGCATGATGTTAATCGTTTTCATTTCATTGAAGGTGATACTGATTCATCTTATTGGGCAATCGCTGGCGACCCAAATCTTCCTAACACTCAAGCATTTCAAGCAATTGTTACCGATAAACAATTTTATGATAAAAACATTTTCAAATTCGCACCTTTTGATTTCTTCTGTTTTGATGAGAAATTTAAACCTAAATTAAAGAATAAAGCTGAAGAAAAAGCACATGAGAAGAAGTTATTGGGTTTAGCAATTGAGAAACAAGGTGATAACATGGTTGCTTTATGCCCTAAGTGTTATACATCATTCAACGGAATGATTGGTGAAGACTCCTTCAAAAAGATTGCACAAAAAATGAAAGGTGTTAGTTTACGACAAAATAAGCAATTAACACCTAAAAATTATTTGGATATAATAAATGATAAAGTGATATTTGATGGTCAAAATATTAATTTACAACTTAAAAATGGGTCAATGACTCGCTTAACAATTGGTAAGACTGCATTAACAGGAGCACACACTAAAGCTGTATGTTGTGAAAATGGATGTTGTATGCCATTTATTTAATGAAATGCCATAGAAGAGACAAAGAGGTGGGCACCCTTAAACATTGATTTTATTTTTATATAAATGAATAGCGTAGATTTAAAAATTTTAATTGATGATTTAGTATTTAATCAAAATTTTCTTAGTTATTATGAATTAAAATCATATCTCCAAAAATATGATGAAACAATTACAGGTGATGATATGGGTGAATACTATCGGTATTATAAAAACGAAATTTTGAAATATCATGATAAAATAATTAAACGTTTAAGAGAGAACATTAAAGAAGGAAAATATTCAAAGGGAAAAAGTAAATCACAACTTAAACAGTTGAAAGATTTCAAAAATAAAGTATTAACAGAAGAAGATATTGATGAATTATATAAATTATATAATCCTGAGCCACAAAAACCAAAGAACAAAAACAAAAGTGACGTTCAGCAGCTCATAAATGAAGCACAAGCTTTAATTTATGATTCATTAGTTAAAACATTCAGCCCGACTTTTAAATGAAGATCAACTTTTGGAATTCATCCTTCAACATAAACTCGAAGCGGGAAAGTATATCAAACCTTTATATACAGCATATTTAAAACAAATGAATAGAATACATCCAGAATTAATGAAGGGAATGAAATCCAAAATCAAAGCAGATAAAATTAAACCACTTGCAACACCAAAACCTCCAACGACAGTACCCCTCCTCCTTCAGTTAATCCTTCATCATTCACTTTATTATATCCATTTCAAACATTAAAGAAACAAAAAGATTTTAAAAAGGTTTCAAGATATTAAATAAACCAATTGACCCGAAAATTCAACCATTAAAAGAAAAATTTAGTCGTCCATCATTTGCACCTTCACCTTATTCATACGAAATCGATCATCTGGAATATTCAAAAGGAAATATTACTTATTTATTTGCCATTAACATTAACACTAGATATTTATATTGCATTCCGGTGAAAGGGAAAACAGAACAGGAAACAAGAAGAGCTATACAATACTTACTAGATCATGAAAGAGTAGATAATATCAGGGGTGATGGTGATAAAGGATTTCAGGCAGCCATGACTCATTATTTCCCACAAATTAATTTTTACTTCTCATCCTCTCCATATACGTTTCATAATAAAATAGTTGATGCGGTAATGAGAACTCTTAGAGATGCGTTAGGGGTTAACGGTCAGATATACTGGGATGGAAATCATGACTCCATCATACAGCAGTTAGTATATTATTACAATAATACATGGCATAGAACTATTAACATGAAACCGGTGGAAATGAAAAATGATATTTCAAAAGAATGGGAATATATTAGAAAGCAAATGGAAAGGTTGAATGATGTTAAACGTGAACAAATTAATTCGGGGCTCATGAATTTTAAACAAGGGGATAAAGTTTTGATTCATCTCGATTATGGAAAAACTGATAAATCAATGACAAAAAGAAGACGAAGATTTGACACAATAGCTGAATTTGTTAGATATATTAACGGTAATGTATTAGTTGAAGTTGACAATAAATTAATAGAAATTCCGATTTATTTTATTACTCCATTATATTTAAATAATATTTAATTTTTTTATTTCGTAAGAAATGAGTGACAACGAAGCAGTCAAGAGTCCAGACGATGAATATAAAAAGAAACTAAACAGAATTAAATCAAAAATATGTTATTACAAAAAGAAGCCGCAATGTGGTGGGGTTGAAAACGATAAAGAAATAATCGAAAAATTAGAAACTTGCCGTTCAATCCTTAAACTGAGTGAAGCAAAAATAAAAGAATTTAATAGAATAAATAAATTGGTTGGAAGAGATGAATTTAATAAAGATGAATTTTTAAACTCTATCCAAATTTAATTTTTATTCCTCTTCGACAACATCTCTCTTTCCATCATTACTGCATAACCGCATTTTCTCAGTTTAAGTGGTTTGTTATTTTTAACATGTTCTCGCATCATTTTTATCATTTCCTCCCTTGTTATGATTCGTGGTAAATTTTGAGCTTGTGGGGTATTCATTTATGATAAAAATAAAAATTTAAATTATGCCGTTCTAAAGTTTGAGACAACATGACATTTTGACAACAACACGAGAGGAAGGTAGTTATGACTTATTTTTGAAGAACTGAAGGTGTCACCAGGTTGTCATGTTGACGACATGACATTGTGTCAACAACACAGGAGGAAGGTAGTTATGACTTATTTTTGAAGAACTGAAGGTGTCACCAGGTCACCATGTGTCACCAGGTCATTTAACTTCTCTGAAAAAATGTGACAACATGACATTTTGACAACAACACGAGAGGAAGGTAGTTATGACTTATTTTTGAAGAACTGAAGGTGTCACCAGGTTGTCATGTTGACGACATGACATTGTGTCAACAACACAGGAGGAAGGTAGTTATGACTTATTTTTGAAGAACTGAAGGTGTCACCAGGTCACCATGTGTCACCAGGTCATTTAACTTCTCTGAAAAAATGTGACAACATGACATTTTGACAACAACACGAGAGGAAGGTAGTTATGACTTATTTTTGAAGAACTGAAGGTGTCACCAGGTTGTCATGTTGACGACATGACATTGTGTCAACAACACAGGAGGAAGGTAGTTATGACTTATTTTTGAAGAACTGAAGGTGTCACCAGGTCACCATGTGTCACCAGGTCATTTAACTTCTCTGAAAAAATGTGACAACATGACATTTTGACAACAACACGAGAGGAAGGTAGTTATGACTTATTTTTGAAGAACTGAAGGTGTCACCAGGTTGTCATGTTGACGACATGACATTGTGTCAACAACACAGGAGGAAGGCAATAATGACTTATTTTTGAAGAACTGAAGGTGTCACCAGGTCACCATGTGTCACCAGGTCATTTAACTTCTCTGAAAAAATGTGACAACATGACATTTTGACAACAACACGAGAGGAAGGTAGTTATGACTTATTTTTGAAGAACTGAAGGTGTCACCAGGTTGTCATGTTGACGACATGACATTGTGTCAACAACACGAGAGGAAGGCAATAATGACTTATTTTTGAAGAACTGAAGGTGTCACCAGGTCACCATGTGTCACCAGGTCATTTAACTTCTTTAAAAAATAGTGACAACATGACATTTTGACAACAACACAGGAGGAAGGCAAAAATAAATTCCAATCATACTTTATAAAGCATCATTTACAGGTATTTCATCGTCAGTAAATGAATCCTCATTATCGTTTAGTTCAACCTGTTTATATAATCCTTTCATTTCTTCTTTCAAAACATAACACCATGTTTGTTTACCATCTATTCTTATCTGTTTCCTATCACATTTATCCTTAATACTCATTTGAAAGTTTTTGTCTTTCATGTCTGATGGTTTGCAGAATAGAGCATTTTTACACGTCATACCTGCATTCAATTCATCATAATGTGTATTTATCCATACATCTAAAGGATTTGTTGATAATTCTATTAAATCTTGTTTGGCTTCAGTCATCGGAATGATTCGTACATTAAATGATGAAAGGTCATATTGCATAAAATATGTTAAAAGGTTATCATAAAATTCCTTTGTGCATGAATCCATTAAATTCTTGAAGTAATCAAATTGACCCTTGAATTTACCATTAACTCTTAAAACTACATATCTTCTGTCTCCAACTTCAATTTTGACAGGGTAGACGTTATTAGTTACGAAAATGAAGTTTGCAACGTTCTGAGCAGTTCTTCTGGGTTGATTCTTTTCATTAATTCTAATCTCATTATCCGTAATAATTGATTTCAAAGCGTTGAAGTTTGCGAGTCTATCTTCACCTACATTCTTGAGTTCATTAAGTACAAGAAACATTTTATTTTCAACTACTGAATTGAAATTACCCGTTAACTCACTTATTTCAGTAATGTTTTTACATGAATAACCAGCGAGAAGTTCAGAAATAATGTCTGTGAATCTGTTTTTACCTGTTCCCTGAAGTCCTTTCAAAATAATTGCTGTTTCATTCTTGATTCCAGGATGTTGAATCATTGATGCAATCCAGCCGAGAAGGTATTTATACACTTCATCGTTATTATCACAAATGGCTTCTTTAATGAAATTCATAAACATCTCAATTTTTGAGTAATCAAGCTTTTCAAGAATGTTGTATTTATAACCTTGAAACGTTGAGAAAACATCTGGGGAATCAGATTTAAAGCAAACACCCTTAACGGTTAATGAAGACAATTGATTTAATAGTACGTCCCATGCTGTTATTGTTTTACCTTCTTCATTAAATAATTTAATCATTTTGAGTGACTCTTTCATGTTTGACTGAAGAACGAATGATATTTGATTCATTTTGTCGTGGATATTATAGTCCTTTTGAATGAAATATTTGTTTCCACAATCTACAAAACGGATTACACGTGATAAATCCTCAATTACTTCAGAACTGTTTTTATACTGATGATTTTCAGCCTTGCGTCTAATATCTGTTATCAAAAACGAGTCATCAAGTTTTATATCAAATGTTATTTTTGGCTTACGTAATAAAGGAAAACATATTCATCATAATATTCCTTTTGATAAAGTTTTAGAATCTTCACCAAAACAAATGGAGAAGTCATTAAATATGCATATCTATCACGTGCTTTTTCAAAATTACTTTTTGCATTTTCTGTTAAACTGCAGAAGTTATAAACGTTATCGTAGGCTTCATTAATTAAATGATTAGGTAACGAATTAATAGCTTGAAACAGTGTGAATAATGTAACTTCTTTTTCTAAATTCATGTTTCCACCATCATTATGTACTTCAAAATCACAGATGCCATCAACTATGCTCTGGGCAAGTTTATCGTCAATGTTTACATCTTTGTTTTCATTCATTATATTCTTTATTTCTTCATTCTTCTGTTCAACTCTTACCTTAATATTCAAATCATTTAATATATCATTCACTGTTCTAGTTAATGTTGAATCATAACTTCCACGAATGAATGAGTATGTATTGATTGGTTCTGTTGCATTCTTGCGAACTCTTGAATCAGCCATAACCACTAAAGAACGTTTTGAATCATCCATAGAAGTCATTATGTCAATATCATAATCATTGCAGGAATAACATTTAATCATTCTGTTCGAGGTTGAATAGAAGAAATTAGTGTTGCAATAAATGTGAAGACCTCCTGAAGCGGTTTTAACGATAACATCTTTATCCGAAAGTTTTGATAAAATGTCTTTCTAACTGTTTCTTTAAGTTCATCATTGTATGATTTATTGATATCAACATCTATAATCGTTAAATTCGAAATTTTATTTACTAATAAAGCTGTACCAGTTTTCCTTCCTCTTCCTCCATCATATTTGAGGTAGTTATGTAAATCAATCTTGTTTTCATTAATTCTTTCGTTGAGGGTTTTAGTTTCTGCCACAACTAATTCCTCAACTAATGAATCAATAACTTTTTCATCAGAAACGATAAAGTTGTTGTTGTTGTTTGTTGCTGTCATTTATATAGGAATAAAAAAATAAAAATAACTTTAAAACTAACCTTATTTTTGGGCTGCATCATATTTCCGTCACTGTTGTCAAAATGTCATGTTGTCACTATTTTTTAAAGAAGTTAAATGACCTGGTGACACATGGTGACCTGGTGACACCTTCAGTTCTTCAAAAATAAGTCATTATTGCCTTCCTCCTGTGTTGTTGACACAATGTCATGTCGTCAACATGACAACCTGGTGACACCTTCAGTTCTTCAAAAATAAGTCATTATTGCCTTCCTCCTGTGTTGTTGTCAAAATGTCATGTTGTCACTATTTTTTAAAGAAGTTAAATGACCTGGTGACACATGGTGACCTGGTGACACCTTCAGTTCTTCAAAAATAATCATTATTGCCTTCCTCCTGTGTTGTTGACACAATGTCATGTCGTCTCATTTTTTAAAGAAGTTAAATGACCTGGTGACACATGGTGACCCCCCCCTCATTTATTCAAAAATTCTGTAATTTCATTAATGAGGTATGCTGAATTGGAGCTCAGGACTTTCAATCCGTGCGAAACCATGCATAAACTGTCATATAAGGCGGCATGTAATCTTTACTCTGTCCCGTCGTTTGTGTATATCCTGAAACATTATGTGTATGATTACCTGAACCCTGTGTATCGTTCCAGTAACAATTAATAGCAAATTTAACGTCATCTTTAACATCATATCCTTTACCTTTTGTCATTCCTGACCAATCCCAATATCTATGCTTATGCCATCCTGCTTCGGTTGTGTTTAAATTAACGTAATGACTGTGAGCAGGTAAATTTTCACCTGTAATTGTTTTACTTCCACCGGTTTGTTTTGATGAGTTTGTACAATATAAAAAACGATCGGTTATCTGCTGCCATGTACCAAATCCAAATAATGTTGATGGATTTGTTGAATTCATTGATGTATATATTGAACCAATGGGGTAAATCATTTCAAACATTGTATTTAATTTAGTATTAACCCATTCCTTATCTGCTTTCTTCTTTAACTCAGTATTAACCCATTCCTTATCTGCTTTCTTCTTTAACTCAGTATTAACCCATTCCTTATCTGCTTTCTTCTTTAACTCAGTATTAACCCATTCCTTATCGGCTTTCTTATTTAATCCATTATGAATATTGAATTTATTATATAATATTGAAATCGTGTAAGAAGTTAAAATTGGTATTGTCATCAATATTAACATATTATTTTTGAAAATTGCTTTTTTAACATCTTGAAATTTTGTGATTTCAGACCAATTTTTTCCATCACTACTGATATTTACTAAATCACCACATCCAAAAGCAATGAAATACCCATCAATATAAAACAAATTTGTAAATCTATAATTTCGAGTAAATTTTGGAGTGAATGAATAAACCAATTCCCAATTTGATAAATCTTGTGATAAATAAATATGTCTGTTATAACTTACAGGATATGAATACAACATACTACCTGAAACAAGAACACAAACATTTGAAGCATAACATAAAGCTTCAATGTCTCCATCAGCTTGAAAAATTTGTTCAAAACGACCAAATGGTATTGAATATGATCTATAAATTTTATCATTTTGTAGGATAAAACACATGTTGTTAATGTAATACCATTTACTTGTATAATCAATTTTCAAATCTGATGACATCATACTAAACATATAATAATTTATCCCATCCTCACTAATGAAAATTTGATTGACTTCATAAATTAGTACCCATTTATTATTAACACATCTAATAGGATTATTTGGATATTTAAATTTAACATCTTGATTTAAATTACATTTGAACCATTGGATACAATCGAATGAATAACAAGGGCAAAAATCATCTCCAACCGTTATCATTCCCATAAATTTGCCGTTATTATATTCAACATAAAAAATTCTTGGATTAATGATTGGCTCTCGTGTATCAGGATTCAAAACGGATGGAGTAAATGATTCATAGTTTTTAAAATCATTTGTTTTAAAATAATAAAGCACTCCGCCTGTATAAAATAAATACATGGTCACTCCATCGAAACATAACCATTCAATATCTTCAAATGTTTTATCTGATGATTTCATAAAATTTAAAAATGGTGGGGTAAAATAGACCTCCGATTGTTTTATTTCTTCATTAACAAATGATATATCAGCTTTCTTTGCTAACTCAGTATCAACGTATTCCTTATCTGCCTTCTTATTTAACTCATCGTTAACATAAGTTTTATCTGCTTTAAGGTCTAAACATCCTGAAACCCATCCTGTATCAGCTTTAGTTTTTAAAATCTTTGATGTCCGTTCATGATACCATTCAACCCTTTCTATAATTTCATTATCTTTTTCATCCACATATTCCTTATCTGCCTTCTTCACTAACGCACTAGCCACATATGCTAACTCATCGTTAACATATGTTTTATCTGCCTTCTTCATTATGTCATTTAGGAAACCTTTTATGAATTCCTCATTTAAATTAAATCTTCCAATCTTCAAAACTTTAGGAAATGCATTTAATGCGTAATATCTCTGTTCTTCTGGTGGAATTGATGTTATATCATCCGTTATACCTTTAATTTTTGAATTCATAAATAAAATTTCTTTTATATTTGATATCACCGCACCACCTTTGCAAACGAATTCAAAATGGTCATTTTTCAATACTATCTCCAAATCTCCATATTTCAACCTTTGCGTTTGTTCTGCCGTCTTTGAATTATATGCATATGTGGCGTATGTAATGGTCTGTGGTTGCTGTTTGTTTTTTAATCATTTATTACGATTTAAAAATAAATATTTAATCCGTTATCTCATCAGCTATTTTTTCTATTTGAAATTGCCATAATATTTCATTCATGAATTCTAAATCACAATCAAATAGGTCAGTTATTCTAAATTTAATATTTGATAAATCTTTTGAATGAAGAATAAATGAATTCCCGGATAATTGAAATGGATATGATAAAGAAAATATGTTTAAGTTGATGGATAAAATGTTTTGTATTGATGGGTAAGAGTTAGGGTCTAATGTTTGATGTGAAAATCTCATTGGGGTATTAACTTTATCACATTTGATTAAAATGAAATTGGAACCAGTGTCAGAATACAAAACATCCCCACATCTTTTTCAAAATTTAATATCCCCAACAATGAACGAAGACGAGGAGTACAAAATTTAATTTTCAGCGGAAATTTAATAAGGTTATTTATTTCATCAAGTTCAAAAAGTTTATCGGTTTTGATTTAAAATTTTCTTCATACCATACGATAAATGATTCATTTAAATAACTTAAAATTGTGTTAATATCCCATCACTATCACATTATTTATATACATATCATACGTTTTTTCATGGTCA